ATATCTTCTATTAGCCCTGTATTTTAAAGTCAAAACAAAGAAATTAAAAATCTAAGTCACTGTTGGTCAAAAGTACGCCTAAGTTCCTAACTTCTCTAAAACACCTCTAATCGGATCCAAATTAAAACGAGAGTATTTAATCTCCACTAAACCAGACCATGGTTGATATTAGCTTTCCGAAATCTATGATATCACATATTTTCACAATTATGCACAATCTTGGTCAGGATTGTGCTTACACACTGTATGCATAATAAATATATGTGGCAAGTTTTCATTTATTAGTGAAAACAAACACTACGAAATAACAAGCTTCAGATCAAAGAGCTGGGAAATCAGCCTCTTTCCAAATTTAAATTAATGTGTGTTCTAGTTGTGTCTGTACATATTTCATACCTCACTTTTGAGATAAATATTTCTTTTAATGGATGAATTCTAGTTTATTTTGTAAAATAATTGGTCGGTTTGAAGCATCTATTTTCAGTGTTGTAGAACCTCATCATAGAGTGAAATCTACTGGTGTTTCTGATAGTGCTAGAATTTATGCAGTCCACTTATTTAGGAGCTAATGAGAACATTCTTTCTTTCTCTTATGTAGTTATGGATTCTTATGTGAAGTCTCTCTTAAGGTTATCACTTTTCCAGGATCTAAGTTTAATAACTATAAGATCAACAATTCATAAGTTTTTAAGTGTATAATGGCATGCAAGCTAGTTAAAACAATACTAAAGATATAATGTGTATTATTACTTTTAGATAGAAGTCTGTGTATAAAAAGTGTCAACGGGTGTCTAGACTTATTCGCATTGATTTTTGTATATAAAAGGAAATGAATTTGCTCGCTTCCGTACAAATTGTAATTCCAGTGCGTCTTGCTTAGCTTGCATTGCCCTTACTCTTAAATAGTGAAATATTGGGCTTCCTTTGGACCTCTTTTTAGGAAAAAAATATGTATTTAGCTTTTGAAATAGCAGGCTTTTGTTACTTGGCATATATCCTGATAGATATTTCAAAATGCTAAAAGAAATGTTAAAATAGAGCATAGCTGCAGAAACCAACTGATAGTTTAGAACATTTGCTACCAGCCTAATTAATGAAAATGAGCCTTTTCACTCTCTCTAGCCAATCAAATGTCATTCTCCCTGCTTATTCTATATTGAATAATCCATGATTTATTCATGGATTAGGCCTTTGGAAGAACCCACCGTTAAAGGTTTGGAGCAAGATGCATGTGATTTCATCGTTGAAGCTATTATATTTTAGGGCGATCCTCTAATTTTATCACCTCTGCATCTTTCAGTACTTGAGTTAAAGGATCGCCAGAGTACATTTATTTTGCCCTAGTTCGGTATATGTTGTGGCCTAGATTTTGTTTTGATAAAATACTTATTAGAATTGATCGAGCAAGAATTGTTTGATAATGTTCATGAAGTAGATCATATCTAATTATGGTCTGACCTAGATTTTGTTTTGATAAAATACTTATTAGAATCTTATCTAATTATCTCTATAAAACGACACCTTTAGGTTAAAGAAAGTAGATCATATTATAAAGAACAGTAAACATGATAAATAAGAGGCTTACGTATGTTGTATAGTTCGACTTCCCGCAGCTTAATTGTACACATGTTGATTCACTGTAGGATCACCATAAGTTATCTATGAGTAGAAAGAAAAGAAAATCATAAATATATGATTCAGATACTTATGAGGTAATGATAGCACGGAGAATCTTTCCTCAGAACCCTATTAAATAAGATAAAAAAAAGTGTCATTAAGCACAACATGGAAGAATTAAATGGACTATAGAAAGGAAAAACAGTATATAAAGACTTTGTTAGCTTCCAAAGATGATAGTTTTTGTCAAGATATTTTCCTGAAAATCCCAAAATTACAAAACATAAAACTGTTTCACAAAAATGACTTCCCGTTTTCATGGGAAGTCATTTCAACAAAGCAAGATCAATGGAAATATTTTCCAATGCCAAATAGAGTATAATCAGAACTCATTTTCCACGAAAATGTTTTCCTGGAAACAAACACAACCTAAAAGCCTAAAAAAATTCAGAACCTGCTCACCTCACCTAGCATTTGACAAGCACTTGTATACCAGTCCACACTGTAAAAGTATAAGCACATATATAGATTTGAGCAAATTTCTAAAGAAACACATAGATAAAAACCTCACCATTAATCATCGTTCCAACTTACATCGAGATGACCAGAACAATCAAGAGTCCAACTCACAAAAAGCTCATATAAAACCAAATATGAAAACCAACATTACATTTCTAGAACAATTTTGGGGCTTTATCCGTATTTGGTTTGATGGCTTGTTGTTTGGTTTAATTCAATACTACTACCTAACACTTACCTACTGAGTTTTACGGATGACCACAAGCTCCTCAACTTAAACTCAAGCATTTACCTGGATGGTTAGCAGCACAACACAAAAACTATGGGACTATGGGGTGAGGTTGCCTGCGCGGATGGAAGTAGCCGTGTGATAGCAAGGTTGGGAGCGACAAGAGACGGGGAGAACACACGGTGTATTTGTATACTCAAGGCTAGGATTAGAGACGGAAATGAACGGATGGGAGCTACCAGCTATGGATGGAAATAAAACGGATGTTAGGTCCCTCTAATAATAGAGTACAAACTGCCAAACATATGGTACTACTCAATTAAGCTAGATGATTACACCAACATTTTTTTCATCCCTAAAATGTCCTAACCCTCATTGGTGTTTATAAGTGTTTTAGATTTAGATATTATTATTTGATTTGATCAAGTTCTATGTTGTGGGATTAGAAAATGAAAGTAATAATCCAACTCATCTTCTTTTATTTATTATTCAAATAAAAAGTGAAAGGAAATAAATGATAGAAAAAAGAAATAATAAAATATATTTTTTTATCGTAGAAATAATAAAATATTATAAATTAAAACTTCTAACATATATTTTTGATCACTACCAAAAGATTTACTTTTCACAAAAAATAAATTTATAGTTGGTTAGCATTTATAATATTACATAGAATATTCAAAGAAAACTAAATGAGTCAGTGATACAAATGTTCTAATATTCACAATTTTATTCAAATTAATCATGTAAAAATATAAATCCAATTTGCTATTGTTATCGCCAATTAGATATCTTTTCATATAGGTAGAGTACCAAACATAACAAATACAAATAAAGTATGCCGTATTGACTAACTTTATCATAATAAAAGTATGAAATGAGTAAAAGTTAAAATGATATATGCTAAATTTGTATTTTTCATGTCTAAATTATTTATTTATATCCTAAATATGAAGAATGACGAAAAATACAAAGTCTTTATATATATGTTACAAGTTGTTTGGTGCTCAGTTCAATTTTACGGTTTTAAACCAAATCAAACCAAATCATTCAGTTTGAGAATTTGGTACTAAGCGGTTTACTTAAGTTAATCCAAACCAAACCAAACCATCAATTTTCGATTCGGTCAAACCCAACCATTCTGTCCAGTTTTAGTTTTTGTTATTGCGAGAGACACCTTTAGTCAAATACTTCAAAATTTGGCATATTTAGTCCCTCAAGTATAACAAATTGATATTTTTAGTCCTTTTACTATAATTTTGACATAATAAATAGAGGACCAAAAATGTCACCGTTATAACGGTTGAGGGATTACAATTGTTACAATTGAAAGTCGGACGATTAAATATAGAAATTTCTAAGATGAATATCAAAAGTGTACATCTTTCACACAATATTTGAGGATTAAAAGTGAAAAAAAGTAGCGAAAACTATCAATTTGGCCCTTGTACTTTCATGAAAAGTCAATTAGGTACTCGTACTTTAAAAAGATCAGTCAAGTCCCCGAACTTTGTAAAAACGTTCAATTGAGTCCATTTGCAGGTTTACTTGCCATGTCAACAGGTCACTCGCTGACGTGACGCACATGTAGCAGCTCAATCAGCAATAATTTTGCTGGCGTGGCACACATTTGGAAGTCCAGTAAGTCATTTGTTGATGACGTGGCGTGCACGTGGACTGTCATGTGTGTGCCACATCAGTGGGGATTTGATTGATTTTTTTAAATGTACGAAGACCTAATTAATTTTTTCATGAAAGTACGAAGACCAAATTGATAGTTTTCCCAAAAAGTAAGGTCGTGTATCAAAAGTGTCAATGAAATAATAGTGAAGAACTAATAGTAGGGGTGGGCATATCGGTTTCGATTCGATTCGGAACATGAAGAATTATTGTCAAATAAAAGTCATACTATGTTTTGGTTTGGTTCAATCCCGTATAATTCGATTTGGTTCAGTTTGGATTTGTTGTTTTTTAATACGTAGTAATATATGATTGTTTTATTGAATTTCTTTACTTCGATTCGATTTTTATCAGTTTCCATTACGTTTGGTTTAATACGATTTAAAAGAAAAACTATCAAATTCAAATTAAATTGCATATGATCCGACTTTGATTCGATTTAGTTCGTTTTGGTACGATTCAATTAAATCAAACTCATATACCCACCCTCCATAAAAGTAATAAAAACTCTTTTTGAAACCGTAATGAGTTTAGTACTCCCTCCATCCCAATTTGATGGTCTCATTTCTTTTGGGCACAAATTTTAATAAAGTGATTGTAAATGTAAAAGTTGTGGTTGCGGTTTAAGTAGAAAAAAGTGAAATTATGTGGATCACATCTTTCATTCCAAAAAGGGAACCATAACCATTAACCAACTTACATAATCATCATTTTGGAACATCCCAAAAAGGAAATATAAGTCCATCAATCATTTTAGGGCGGAGGGAGTAATACTTTTCCTCAAAGATCCAAGACCCGCCGGTTCATGAGTGGATTCCACAACGATCCTCATACAGAGCATTTCCTAGCTGAGCTGTATCCAGTAGAATCAGCTTCTCCACCTGTACCACGTGCATTGTCATGCTTTGTAATTTAGTTGGAAAGCTTTGCCCTCAAAGTTATGGGGGTTCCACTCCTTTTTGCTATTCCTAACCTATGGTAGAGAACCCAAATCAATCATTTATTCTGCTGAAACACTAATCCGCGTTAGGTGCTGCCCATACGGTTTTTGTTTTAGATCTGGGTACCAGAAGAAATTAAAAATGGCTCATAAAAAAGAGATGGCCTTTCTGGGGAATCTTCCTCTGAAGTGTATGTAATATATAGACACTTTATCTCTTGCCAATAACAATTTCCCTCTTCCTCCAAATGGATATGGCCATTCATCTTAGGATCTCAAGAAACTGCCATTTTTGGTACTTTCTCCTCTTATTACAAGCCTCTTGCCTCTTCTGTTACCAATACAAGGTTGGAGATTTAGATTCCTGGAACATTCCTTCTTCAGGAAATTCCAATGTCTATGCTAAATGGGCAAAACATCATGTTCTCAGGATTGGAGATTCACTCTGTAAGCCTTTTTTACCCTTCTTCATTTTTGCCTTGATTTTTCTGTTTCTTGGTTTACATTAAAATTGCCTTTTTTATTTTTACCTTTTTGCCATTTCTGCAGTGTTTTTGTACCCACCAAGTCAAGATTCAGTAATACAAGTTTCTGCTCAATCATACAAGGACTGCAACACAAAAGATCCAATATTGTCTATGGACAATGGCAACTCCTTGTTCAACATAACAGAACCAGGGGACTATTTCTTCATTAGTGGGGAAAAGGGTCACTGTGAGAAGTCTCAGAAACTTCATATTTTTGTGGCAGGAGGGAATGCTTCTGCATCATCTCCTTATGATGCAGTCTCACCCACAGCTTATGGTCCATCTTCTGCAGCTTCTGGACCTTCTGCCCCTAATGTTTTTGGGTCCATTCCTTTTCAAGGTTCCACTTCTTCCTCATTGAAGACTCCATTCTTTTTGCCAGTTGTCGCGATTGGCCTGGTTTATATCTCTACTCTTCAACAGAACCATATGGTTATAAGGGCAGATTAATACATTCTTCCCCCCAGTTTGATGTCTTCCTCCATTCTTGATAAAATTCATGTGATGTATAGTTTGGATACACTTGGTGGTGGGTTCTTTTAGAAGTAACTGTTTGGGAGGTTCTTCAAACAGTTATTAGTTATTCTTCACAAGGCCCTTGAACTACATTAAAATATTCAATTAGCCCCTTATATAGGAGGTTCTGCCCGACCGTCACCAATTGCGCCTGTTCCCTGTGAAATTTTTCAATGAAATTTTTTGAGCATCTTCTTCATTAAGTCTAGTTTACTCATACCAAATTTCAACTAAAAATTCAACCGAGAAGGTAGTCAAATGATTTTTTGAAGATAACTGCGAAGTAAAACAGCGCAGTACATTTCATAAAATCATTTGTCTGCCTTCCCGGTTGAATTTTTAGTTGAAAAATTCATCAAAAAGTTTCATCGGGAACTGCCCCAATTAGCGACGGCCGGACATAACCTCCTATGTAAGGAGATAATCGAACACTTTAAGTCAGTTCAAGGCCTATTTGACCCTTTACCCTAAAAATATTATTCTCTTGGCAGGATATAGGAGTATATTTTTCCATGTTTGATGTTTTCATCCCTACCCTGTTAGGCTGTTATTTTTTATTGATGTGTTTATATTACTGAATGATGTTTTATTATAAGAAGAAACTTGGGTGTTAAATTTACTGGTTTCGTTTTTTTTTACACCAGTTTAATTACACTAGTGTCAATTACACTTAGGATAGGATATACTTCGTATATTTTTATATTTTTCCATGTTTGATGTCTTCCTCCCTACCCTGGTTTTTTATTGATGTGTTTGTATTACTGAATGATGATTTATCATAAGAAGAAACTTGGATGTTAAATATGCTGGAATCTGACATTGCAAGATTATGATCAAAATTAGATTTTACACCGGATTAAAAAAAACTGGCGTGTGCTTAATTGAAAAGAAGCCCAATCTCTTAAAATCAAGTCAAATTGAATTCATGATAATGTTCTACGGAGTAATTGGTTTCGTTATTTTCTAGTTGATGTAAATTAGACTTATTTAATTTGTCATAATTGCACATTTGCACTTGCCATAAGTGTGTTAGGTTGAGACCAGACACGTATTTTGCCTTTGATTTTTATATGGCAAAACATTCAAATAAACTCTCGGGAAAGTTCCCGAAATAGAACTAAATAAGTTTGAAAATTCCAAAATAGGATTGTCATGTTTTTATTCCCAAATACGAGTAATTACTATCAAATTTGGAAAATACTGTCATCTTTAAAGCCCGGGTACTGCCAAAATATGACAGTAATTAGTTCTATTTTGAAAATAAAAACATGGCAGTCCTATTTTTGGAATATAGAGGTGCTTTTAGTCCTATTTAGGGTAATTTTTCTAAACACTTCTATTGAGTTATTTTCCTAAGTAAGGTTAAAAAAGAATTATTTACAAAAATAGTGTTGGGTTAATACGAGTAATATTTACCAAGATACTGCTATTCTAAAGAGGGAATTCCCCAAATAGGAGTAAAAACGTTTTGAAATTCCAAAACAGGGGTATCATGTTTTTTATCCTTGAATAGAAGTAAATTTCTGACAAGTTTGGCATTACAAGACTTTAAACATGACATTTTTTTCCAAACTTGGAAGATTACTCCTATTCAGAGAATAAAAACACATGATATTCCTATTTTGTAATTTCAAAATGTTTTTACCCCTTATTTAGGACAATTTGTGTATTCAAAACTATAGTTAGGAAAATCCATTCCTACGCCGCTACGCATGAGAAGGGGAACGAAGCATCAGAAATGGTTAAGTGGGGCCCAAGTAAAAAAATCCTCTTTTTATTTTAAACTGCTATAATTTTTATTTTTTGCTCCAAATTTCATAAAAAATATATTCCGTATTAATTTTCATAACTTTTTACGATCTTTCATATGACACCAATAATATATACATTAAATTTTAAAAATATATGAAATTCTTGTGGAATGAAAAGGGAAGTTGCAGTAATGCCCTATGAACAAATCTAATTATAGACCAATATTTTTCTTACAAAAATTTGAAGGTTCGATCGGTAAAGTTTGTCAGACTCAACAGTTTTCATAAATAAATTCAAGTGCTAGAATTTATATTTGATAATTACTTTTACATTTTCCCGATAAGTTTTTCATGTGAAGTAACAAAAACAAATATGAAATGTTATTCTTTTTAGGGAAAAATAATTAAAAGAGTTTTTTTCCGTATTAATGCTAATTAATTAAGTATTTACGAAAATAGAGTTGGGTTAAAAGTATTTACGGATATACTGCAGGGCTTAACCCTGGTCAGGGTAAGTCGCCAAACCGTTTGGCGACTTATAAGTCGCCCAACGGTTTGGCGGCTTATAAGTCGCCCAACGGTTTGGCGACTTACCCATAAATTAAAAAACCGGGTTAAGCTATTAAAAAAAAGAGGGGCAAAATTGTCTTTTGAGACCCGCTGAATTTTACGGCTATCGTGTCCGCAGGTCGCCCGCGCAGGGGGGTGCGGATTTTCGATTCTGAACTAGAAGCCGAGATTCTTGTGTGCACGAGAGCTTCCCTCTTCTCATTCACCTTTTAATACTAAGTGAAGAGTGGTTCATATTTATAGGCTCAAAAGTTCTCAAGGAGTTTATGTGTGGGAAAGGTTAAAAGATCCTTTTTTCTCCTATACTTGAGAAGATCATTTTTTGCGTCTACCTTCTTTAAGAGCTAGTTTTTGAGCCACTTCAAACTTCAAAGTCCAAAACTCCAACACCAAAGGTCAACACTACAATCAAAGCTTCCAAGAGTCAACCTTGAGATTAAAAAAAATCAAGGTTAACACTATTTTTCTCAAACTCCAAGCTACATCTCAAGGTCCAGGAATTTGCAGAAAATTCAATCAACTTCACGTCTACGGTCAACATTCAACAATCAACAATGGATGTCTCTAACTCATCAATGTGTAAGAACAAATGCGTTAAAGTTTCTGATGAGTCTGAGATAAGCAAATCTGACAGTCAACAAATAATCACGTCTACTTTAAATAAATAATGTAACCCCGAATTAACATTAACATTATAAACTTCCATTGCAAAATAAATAATGTAACCCCAACTCTATATAATTGCAACACTTTGCATTTGCTATTTTAAATTATGCAATTAACCCCATAAATTTACATTTCTTTAAAAAAAATACAGGGAAAATCGCATATATGGTCCCTCGGTTATCCACAAAATTAAAATCTCAGATCTGTATTTCTGAGATTGTAAATGTCACCCCTCAATTGTCCAAATTGTTGTAATTGTGGTTCTTTAAGTAATAAAATGTACTCTCGCCCACATTGTATATTTCACCCTCAAAAGGACCACATTTACAACATTTCTGACAATTGAGGGGTGACATTTACAATCTCAGAAATACGGGTCTGAAATTTTAATTTCGTGGATAATTGAGGGACCATATATGCGATTTTCACAAAAACACATGAGAATGGTGCGAAAATAACTTTTTATATAAAGTCTGAGATATTTAAATTACATATGCAAGTTTGGGGTATTTACTTCACACCTCATCAAAGTTTGAGATATTTTTATTTTTTTTCCCCTTCTTTTTAATGTATTTACGTCTTTGATATAAACTACGAAGTAGTTTAGAATCAGGTTTATTGACATAAAATGATTACAAATACTTGAAAGATGAAAAAAGAAATGGAAGATGTTAATATTTGAAAAGTAAAATTTCATAACTATTTTTTTTGTTAATTCAAATGAAACAAAATACGTGAAAGATGTAAACATAATTATGAGATCTTAATTTAACAGGTGGATCTTTTAGGAAAATATTTGAACCTAAAAAAATATTCTAATCTGGTCTCCCCAACTTTCATAAACTATTTTTATAACCATATCACCCATTTTTTAGTTTCATATATTGTTTTAAATAGACCCAACTGCTAAATTAAGATGTCATTATTATGTAATTAAGATGTCATTAATATGTTTACATCTTTAAGGTATTTTCTTTCATTTGAAGTAACAAAGAAATTTTACTTTTCAAATATTTACATCTTCAATTTTCTTCATCTTTCTGGCATTTGTAATCATTTTATGTCAATAAACCTGATTCTAAACTAGTTTATATCAAAGATGTAAATATCTAAAAAATAACATTTCATAAATTTTTTTGTTGCTCCGGATGAAAAAATATCTGAAAGATGTAAAAGTAATTGTTAAATCTTTATTACACCTACATCACTTGGATTTATTTATAAAATGTTGAGTCTGAAAAATTCTACCAAACCTTCAAATTTTTGTAAAAAATATTGGTTTGGAATTAGATTTATTGATGCTTGTTGCAACTTGCCTTTTAACTCCATATGATATTTTACTTTTTTAAAAAAATTTATGTAAATAATATTGGTGTCATATAAAGATAATAAAAAAATATAAAAGTTGATATATTTTTTATAAATATTGGCGCAAAAATATAAAAATTATAGTACTTTAAGGTAAAAGGAGATTTTTTTTTTTAATTTGGGCCCACTTAACCATGTCTCTTGCGCATTTGCTTCGTTGAAGTCGTTCCTCTTCCCAGAGTATTTAACGTATTTTCGTGACCATAGTTTAAAAGAGCAGCACTTTTGTAAATATTTTTAGCCCAACACTAGTTAAGTAAATAATTATTTATTCAGTAAATAAGTGGTTGTTTGATACGGAGTACTATTTAGAAAGTCCTTAGAAACTTCTAGTTGAATGTGTTGAGTTTAATCCAACACGATATAGTAAATATATGTATAAATGTGTATGAACAAGCTATTTTTACGTGGAAACCCGGAAAGGGAGAAAACCACGGGACTTTTTAGGCTAATGTTCAAGCCCTCTCTTTCTCATTAGGGCTCTCCTCACCATTACATTGTACAAGCTCCCATTAATGGAGTATTTGAGCTATTCTAGAGGAAGAAAGAAGAAGGAAGGGATCCCTAATATGGAGGGAAGACCTCCTATAAATAGGGAAAGGGGTGAGGGAAGTACTCCACCCTAATGGGCCAAACGGGCCGATGTCGGGCCTAATGGCCAAAGTGGGCCAGAATGGGCCGAAATGGACCTAGCTGCTCGGGCTCCGTACTGGATAATGTCTTGGGCTCCTGAACAGTAATAAGCCGGGATAATATATCCCAACACAAGTCCCCCAGTTTCTTGAGTAGTGAGCGTGCGAATCTGCTCGAGAAAATATACTCTTGTCTGCGCTCTTCCTCTGTCTTGCTGGAAACTGTGTCTTCGAATAATCATAATATATGAGTGGGTATCTGCACTCCTGAACGTAATCTGCCGGTGAGGCACCCCCCTTCCCGACGGGGTCGGGCGAAGGGTGCTACTCCACGGGCACACTCCCCCTGAATGCATCAGGCGGGGGTAAAGGACTCTGACTCGAGCTTTCCAATCGGAGAAGCTTAGAGGTCCATGCATCTATAAACCGACGTCGCGGTACTGTCAAAACATGATGCACGTGTGTATGTATGAATGTATGAGGTATGATGCATGAATGCATGAATGCATGTAATGTATGGGTGCAATGTATGAGAGAAGGAATGTGAGATGTGATAGAAAGCGGTGGCTCTCATCGATAAATCGGGCATGTCAGCGCCGAGAGGCAGACATGCTGCATAAGATGGTCGTCGCCATCCTAGAAGGGATTGGCGGTCCGGAGATGAACTCGACACAATGGCACGGCGGGGCCGATTGTGCTGCATAAGAGACGTTTGTCGCCATCCTGGAAGGGATGGGCCAGCCGAACATGAGCCAGACACGATGGCGTTGAGGGGCCGATCGTACTGCATAAGACGGTCGTCGCCATCCTGGAGGGAATGGGCGAGCCGAACCGTGAATCTGGACACGGTGGCGCTGAGGGGCCGATCGTGATGCATAAGACGTTCGTCGCCACCCTGGAAGGGATGGACGAGCTGAACGTGAGCTGGGTACGATGGCGCTGAGGGGCCGATCGTACAGCGTAAGACGGTCGTCGCCATCCTAGAGGGAATGGGCGAGCCGAACCGTGAATCTGGACACGATGGCGCTGAGGGGCCGATCGTGATGCATAAGACGTTCGTCGCCACCCTGGAAGGGATGGACGAGCTGAACGTGAGCTGGGTACGATGGCGCTGAGGGGCCGATCGTACTGCATAAGATGGTCGTCGCCATCCTGGAGGGAATGGGCGAGCTGAACCATGAATCTGGACACGATGGCGCTGAGGGGCCGATCGTGATGCATAAGTCGTTCGTCGCCACCCTGGAAGGGATGGACGAGCTGAACGTGAGCTGGGTACGATGGCGCTGAGGGGCCGATCGTACTGCATAAGACGGTCGTCGCCATCCTGGAGGGGAATGGGCGAGCCGAACCGTGAGTCTGGACACGATGGCGCTGAGGGGCCGATCGTGCTGCATAAGACGTTCGTCGCCACCCTGGAAGGGATGGACGAGCTGAACGTGAGCTGGGTACGATGGCGCTGAGGGGCCGATCGTACTGCATAAGACGGTCGTCGCCATCCTGGAAGGGATTGGGCGAGCCGAACCGTGAGTCTGGACACGATGGCACTGAGGGGCCGATCGTGCTGCATAAGACGTTCGTCGCCACCCTGGAAAGGATGGACGAGCTGAACGCCGGGCTGGGTACGATGGCGCTGAGGGGCCGATTGTACTGCATAAGACGGTCGTCGCCATCCTGGAAGGGAATGGGCGAGCCGAACCGTGAGTCTGGACACGATGGCGCTGAGGGGCCGATCGTGCTGCATAAGACGTTCGTCGCCACCCTAGAAGGGATGGACGAGCTGAACGCCGGGCTGGGTACGATGGCGCTGAGGGGCCGATCGTACTGCATAAGACGGTCGTCGCCATCCTGGAAGGGAATGGGCGAGTCGAACCGTGAGTCTGGACACGATGGCGCTGAGGGGCCGATCGTGATGCATAAAAATAGTGATGATCATCTCATGGCCCTCGGCCTGTCGGTGAGTGGTAATCGTCTCACGGCCCTCGGCCGTGCTGGTGATGTGTCAAGTCTCTCTCCTGATTGGCTGTGAGAAGCCGATCGTCTGCCAGGACTCCATCCGGGAAGGAATGGTGAGCCTGAAATAAATCTGGGCGATGTCCCTCCTACCTGATCTGGGGAGCTGATCGTCGTTCGTCTACCGTATCCGTGGTCCTATGTACGGACCGCTAAGCGGTGTACACTCGGTACGCAACAGACTCCGGTAAAGAACTGGTTCTTCGTGTCTGATCCATGGAGCTGGTCTTCGTTCGTCTACCGTATCCGTGGTCCTATGTATGGACCGCTAAGCGGTGTACACTCGGCACGCAACAGACCCCGGTAAAGAACTGGTCCTTCGTGTCTGATCCGTGGAGCTGGTCTTCGTTCGTCTACCGTATCCGTGGTCCTATGTATGGACCGCTAAGCGGTGTACACTCGGCACGCAACAGACTTCGGTAAAGAACTCGGTCTTTGTTCTTCCCAAGTCTCGTGAGTACTGGTCTCCTGGTTTCGCAGGAGACGTTCGTCATCCCAACTATGAGAAGGAACAGGTTTATCCACGTCGGGATTCCCTATCTCTGTTCGTCCCCCGTCGTGAGTTACTAGTCTTCTGGCTTCGCAGAAGACGTTCGTCATCCGTCCATCAAGGGGGGGGGGGGGAACTGGTATACCCTGTCAGGGTTCCCTTTTCTTCGTTCGTCCCTGTCGTGATCCTACTAATCTTCTTCCCTCGAAGAAGACGTTCGGCATCCACCGATCGCAAGGAGGAACTGGTTTATCCTATCGCGGGTTCCCTGCTTCGTCGTCCCATGCTCGTGGCCCTACTGGACTTCTGCTCTGGCAGAAGGTGTTCGTCGATCCACGGGAAGTGGGAGGAACTGGTTTATCTTGCCGAGGTTCCCTTTGGTTCGTCTAGCCCCCCCACGTTCCTACTGGCCTCCGTGTCAGGAGACGTTCGTCATCCACGGCGAAGGAAGATCTGGCATACCTTGTCAAGACTCCCTCTCTCATAGGAGCTTGTCTCCCCTTCTCCCCATCTTGTTTTTTTTGAGGGAGGAAAAATACGTCCGTCGGTTCCAAGAATAATTACAAGTGATGTCACATATAATGGTGGTGGGATACCAAAATGAATAGAATGACGAGGCGATGGAAATGCTGGTCGTCATGCGAAGGCGATGGTCACCCTCCTGGAGGGGAGGGGTGAGCCCGATCGCTAACTCAAGAAGGTCGGCATTGAGAGCCGATAATGATCATAATGTCGCTGAGTAGTCGGTCCTGATAAGAAGATGACAATGGTGTCGAGATCAGGCCGACATATCCGAGCAACGGCTCTCATCCACGCAGCGCGGGGATGAAACCGGTCTTCAAAAGATAAATATGTCGTGCCGAGAGGCCGAACATAACATGATAGTGTCGACAGTAAAGGCCGACCTGAAAGAATCAAGCAATGGCCCTCGTCCGCGGGGGGCGGGGACAAGGCCGGTCTTCAAAAGATAAACACGCCGTGCCGAGAGGCCGGTCGTGATATAATGACATCGACAATGAGAGGTCGATCTGAGAGTGAGCACGCAACGGTCCTCATCCGCGAGGAGCGGGGACGAGGCCGGTCTTCAAATATGGAAAGCACGCCGAGCCGGGAGGCCGGTCGTGATATAACGGTGTCGGCCATGAGAGGCCGATCTGAGAAAACAAGCAACGGTCCTCATCCACGCATCGCGGGGATGAGCCCGGTCTTCAAATAAGATAATCATGCCGTGCCGAGGGGCCGGTCATGATGTAATGATGTCGGCAATGAGAGGCCGTTCTGAAATCAAGCAACTGTCCTCATCCGCGCAGTGCGGGGACGAGGCCGGTCTTCAAGTATGATGATCATGCCGTGCCGAGGGGCCGATCATGATGTAATGATGGCGTCGGACGGCCCTCGGCCGTGACGATCTCTTCTAGGCCCTTGGCCTCTGAATAACGAGTGATCGTCTCACGGTTCTCTGTCATGGCATTCGCCTCTAGACCCTCGGCCTCTAGGTGTTCTTCCTAGGCCATCGGTCTCTGGGGTGGAGATGCTCGTCCCACGGTTCTCAATCGTGGTGGTCTCCTCTAGGCCCTCGACCTCTGGGTGGAGATGCTCGTCCATCGGCTCTCAGCCGTGATGGTCTCCACTTTAGCTGGCCCTAAACGTCTTTGAGACTTAGGCCGATCGTCTTTTAATCATTTCGCTCGAGCGCGTCGAACGGCTTCAGCTGCGCAATAAGCATGGTAACGGGCTGCACGGCCCGACAATAAATATGCACACATAACCATCTGCATGGCTTTCTCTTTAACATCCACGATTACCGGCCTATGGGTCATCGTGACCCTCGGCCCGGCTCATCGTGCGGGGTTAAGGGACGTAGCAGCTTGCGGCGGGGCCAATTAGCACCCCGCCGAACGTCACATAGAGATATTCATCGGTCTGTGAGTTTTCAAACTCAGACCCAAGTTGGTCGCACTGCCCTCGGAAAAACGAGGTTGAGTGCTTTGCTGCCCTCGGGCCCCATAGGCCACGTTTGGCAATAGTCACTTCGCGCCTAGCGGCGCGGATGGTTCTGGGGTACGGTCGTCGATCGGGCACGTAGTGCCGTGCGGACTAATGCGCAACCCTCCAATTAAAATGCGTCGTCGGGGCATCGCCCTTTTGGAGACGCTCAGATCGCTTAATCAAGCTGATCGAGAGTGGGCCAACGGGCCCACAAGAAATTAAATATTCGATAAATATTGGCCGAACTAACTATCACTAGAGCTTCGCTCCACATTATTTAATTCGGGGCATTTTTATCCCTAATAAATAATAGTGATGTACGGGTAGTAATAATAGTATTATCCTACCATAGGCCATTCAGATACGCTCCGTTCGCTAATTAAAGCCGGTCGGGAGCGGGCCGACGGGCCCACAACAACCAGTCATTAATTAAAATGACGGTGAAAATAATTATCACTAGAGCTTTACTCATTTGAGCTTTGCTCGACATTATCTAATTTCGGGATACGTAAAACCCTATTAAATAACAGTGATCAAACAACTAACTACATAGCAGTAGTTAATTCGTACTACTCTACATCATTAATAATTAAATGCACCAATCTAATAATTAAATGCACCAATCTTAAGAGTAAGCAATTAAGTATAGGTACTTAGCTCTCTTGAGAGGTAGGTTCGGCCAGATAATTGGCCCTGACCTGGTCAAACTGAGCTCCCCACCAGATTGTGACTTGGTCAAAAATTTCCCAAGGAAAGTGGCTCTCCCTTGTTTGGCCTCAAACACGCAGACGTGGTCTGCTTAGAACCAAGGCAGTCTGAACGGTTCTCCGTGTCTTGGGGAGAATAACAGGGGCATCTTCTCATCGACCCAAGGCCAGACTATCCGCGTCTGCTACTCACCGAGGGCGGCACGGCGGTTGCAGCGGAGCAAGGTCGGCCAGAGGGTGTGCTTTTCGGTGGGAGGTCGGTTGAGCTTCTGATGTATCCTCCTTGACTTCAAACTGCCATTAATGGCGGAAGCTCCTTCAGGTCGCGTCAGCTTCAGACCGCTGATGCCGAGCGGTGGCGTGCGCCTTAGGCGGTGGCCGCCCGAAACAGCCGGGATGCTGCAGCGAGCTCCACCTGTCGCAGCTGATTTCGCCGGAGTTCACCGCGGCGGGGATGGTTACGGTGGCTCCGGCGACCTCAAAACAGGCCTGGAAAAAACCAGATTTGGACTTCTAAAATCCGTAGCTTCTTCGCTCCTCCCTTCCCCAGAATCCTTTCTCTTCCTTTTCTGGAATCAGTCCACTTCGTATGAATTTTTTGTAGATAAAACTCAAGAACGGTAGAACACACGAATCTTTTTGGACAGATTCCCACAGACGGCGCCACTGTTGAGTTTAATCCAACACGATATAGTAAATATATGTATAAATGTGTATGAACAAGCTATTTTTACGTGGAAACCCGGAAAGGGAGAAAACCACGGGACTTTTTAGGCTAATGTCCAAGCCCTCTCTTTCTCATTAGGACTCTCCTCACCGTTACATTGTACAAGCTCCCATTAATGGAGTATTTGAGCTATTCTAGAGGAAGAAAGAAGAAGGAAGGGATCCCTAATATGGAGGGAAGACCTCCTATAAATAGGGAAAGGGGTGAGGGAAGTACTCCACCCTAATGGGTAGGGCTGAGCAAAACCCGATCCGACCCGAAAAACCCGATATTTTTTTCGGATATTATCCGAACCGAAGTGGATATCCGACCCGAAAAACCCGAAACCGAAAATCCGATTAGTATTGGGCCTAGATCGGGTGGCGGGTAGGGTTTGTGAAATCCCAACCCGACCCGCCCGAATATCCGAAATATATGTTAGTGTGTACTTTGAATATTTAATTTAATACTTGTGTTCAATTATTTGTGCAATTTGTATTAAATTATTTGTGTAAATTGAATGTGTAGTGAACTAGTGTGTACAATTTTGGTTAAAGTGGCATTCCAACACTTTAACTATCCAATTATAATGTGTTTTGATATAAACAAAATATCCAAAATATATTAAATTATGTAGTGTGTACTTTGAATATGTTAAATTAATACTTGTGTTCAATTATTTGTGTAATTATTTGTGGAATTTGTGTTAAATTATTTGTGTAATTTGGAAGTTTAGTGCACTAGTGTGTACAATTTTTGTCAATGTGGCATTTAAACACTTTAATTATCCAATTATAATTTTTTTTAATATAACCGAAATATCCGAAACCCGACCCGATATCCGATAATATCCGACTTAAAAATATCCGAAATACCCGATTTGAAATATCAAAGGGTCGGACCTAGTATTTAAATTAAAAAACCCGAACGGGTTTAGGGTTCGCAAACCCGACTTGCCCGAACCCGACCCGTGCACACCCCTACTAATGGGCCAAACGGGCCGATGTCGGGTCTAATGGCCAAAGTGGGCCAGAATGGGCCGAAATGGACCTAGCTGCTCGGGCTCCGTACTGGATAATGTCTTGGGCTCCTGAACAATAATAGGCCGGGATAATATATCCCAACAGAATGTTTGGTAGGAAAATTTTTAAGAGCTCCATACAAAACAAAAGATCTTTTTTGAGATGTTTTGTTAATAATGTTAATTAAAACAAAGAGTTTTTTCCCGAAATAATGTTAATTAAATAAATAATTCCCAAAATACTGTTGGGTTAAAAATAATTCCCAAAATACCGCCGGGTTAATCGTAGTTAAGGAAAGCCGCCACTTCTGTTACAGTACAAAAGCCGCCACTTGGAGTGGCGGCTCTTCTCTTACAGCACATTTTGTACATATATAAAATGCAGTATGTTTCAACAATTGTTTTAACTATCTTCCCGATTGAATTTTGAGCTGAAATTTGGTATGAATAAACTAGACTTGATAAGGAACATGCTCAAAAAAATTCATCAAAAAAATTCAGTGGGAAAACCCTCTGATGGTGTTGTCCGCACAGGGAGTCCGGTCAGGACGTCGTGACAGGAATGAGATTTTTTTATAAAATTTGAGTTGCTTCGGAGTCGATTTTTTTGATAAAATTTGGTGATCATGTTCTTCCTAAAGTGTAGGTTATGCTCAACGAATTTCAGATTAAAATTAAATCAAGAAGTTACTAAATAATTTATTGAAAAAAATGCATTTTTAGACCTAAAAAATTATACAATTTTTAAAAATTTATTTAACTAACTTCCAGATTGAATTTTAATCTAAAATTTGGTGAACATAATCTCTATTCCATAGGAACATGCTCAACAAATTTCATAAAAAAAAATTCGACCCGGAAATAGCTCAAATGAAATAGGCCTAAAATTGCAACTTTTAGGCCTACCTTACATGAACATTTTCAGAAGACACATGACAAATTTTTTGCCACGAAAATTTTAGAAATTATGCAACTAGATCGTTTGGTATATTATTTCCCGGAAGCAATGTTTTATAATTTCTTATTGTTTCATATTTGTTGATAATTTATCGATAAGTTATCATCTTTTAGCTGCATCTGTTATACTCCCTCCGTATTCTAAAGTTTGCTACACTTTTCCTTTTGAGATGTAATTAAAAGTTTGCTACACTTTCCCTTTTTGGTAAGTTTTTTCCTTTAAAAAATACCCAACTATCCTTACTTTTTCAACTTTTTATCTTCTCTTTCCTACTTTTTCACCTTCTCTCCTACTTTTTCTACACTATTCATTACTCCTACTATTTCCTCCTTAAATATTGTGCCAAATCGTAATGTAGTGATCTTTACAATACGGAGGGAGTATATGATATGCAATTCCATTTTTACATTAGTTTGAGCATTTCTATCAATAGTTTGTATGTTGTAGGATTACACATGCTTCTTTAGATTACAGAATTTGAATTTACCATTGTCTTTCAGACACGAGCTCAAGTGAATCGGGCGAAACTGTGATTATTCAATTAGAACTTAGAGCAATAGTACCGGTTGCTAAAGTTGATATGGGTGTTGAAACTATTTCCAATGACCATAAACTGCCCAAAGAGAGTTCATATTTATTTAGTAAGTAGAAGAGAAAGAATTGTTTGCAAGGGCATAATGATGAGAGTGATAGCTCGAATCTGCAATTAGTTCCTTTCTGATAGAGTATATAGGCCAGGACGCCGTGACCCACATACTCAAAGGTCAAGGACACCAGCAGGACAGCCATGTGGCACACTACGGTCCGGTGGGGTCCGCAACGGCCAGAAACAAGATCGACCCAGTGCGCCATTTGGGCTCTGGGGGCCGCAGCGGCCCATGGACCGCATCGGCCATGGGGCCGCATCAGCCAAGACTGCATCGCATCGGCCAGATTCTGGCCCGGCAGAATGTATTTTCTCATCTTATTTGCTAAGTATTGTACTCAGCCCATTAGTGGCCCTATTCCGTCCAAAGAAGGCATGGTTATTGTAACGGGCCTCGTAAGCCCAAGGCTACGAGCCCAAATCCACATTTTTACCTATAAATAGACCCCTTGGGGCTAGTTGTAGGGGGTTGAGAAATATTAATTACTCATTTTCTCTCTCTAACTCTCACTTCTCTCTAGAATTAAATACTCTATCACTTTCAATCGGGAAGTTAGTTAAATAAATTTTTGAAAATTGCACAATCTCTTAGGCATAAAAATGCAAGTTTTTTCAATAAATAATTTAACTAACTTCTTGATTTAAATTTAATCTGAAATTCGGTGAACATAACCTACACTTTAGGAAGAACATGATCACCAAATGTCATCAAAAAATTCAACTCGGAAGCACCTCAAATTTCATAAAAATGTCATATTCCTGTCACGACGTCCTGACCGGAACCCCCATGCGGACAACACTATCATAGGATCTTCTCGGTGAATTTTTTTGATGAATTTTTTTGAACATGTTCCTCATCAAGTCTAGTTTATTCATACCAAGTTTCAGCTCAAAATTCAATCGGGAAGATAGTTAAAAAAAAATGTTGAAACATACTGCGTTTTATATATGTACAAAATGTGTTGTAAGAGAAGAGCCGCCACTTGGAGTGGCGGCTTTTGTACTGTAAGAGAAGAGCTGCCACTTCAAGTGGCGACTTTCCTTAACCACGGTTAACCCGACAGTATTTTGGGAATTATTTTTAACCCAACAGTATTTTTGGAATAATTTATTTAATTAGCAATATTTCGGGAAAAAACTCAATATCTTTTAGCATTAATTAGTCACACCTTGTTATGAATTGAATCAAACAGTCAGCATTTATCAAACAAGCAGAAATTGTTTCCTTTTAAAAGTTATTAAAAAGCTCATAAAAGTATATTTTCAGCTAGTTGCGTCAAACGGGGAGGGTTCAAATAAAAAAGAGTCTTAAAAGGAAAGTGCATTAGATAAGGAATGTTGTGCATCTGATTGAAAATTTGGACGACTCAGATTAATTCTCATCTTACATGTTAAGACCTTTTTTTATTTGATCCAAACTTTGTGTCAAACATACCCTCATAACGCTTACTTTAAAAAATTTGCAATTTAACTGTTTATTCAATCTTTCACCTGTAATACCAGGTTTTTTAGATTAAAAAAATGTAAAAAATTGTTAACATTTGAAGAAATATAGATAAAAATGTGGATATTTCAAGAATGTCAATGCCAAATATTGAAATTATATGTATATTCTACATCTATTATAAAGTTTTATACATTTTATATTTTTATATGTTTTACATTTTCCCTTTATTTTTTCAGTTATCTGGTTTTTATTTAATTTTTATTTTAACGATTTATTATTATTGATCTATTTTTACATTTTTCGTATTTGTATATTATTATTAGATTATTTTTCAAATTTATATAAATTTTTATAACATTTACAATGCTTCGAATTACTAATTTTGTCCCACTAACTTTGGCATATGAGTAGTGACACTGTCACGCCCCGGACCTAACCGGACACGTCAACAACCCGCCGTACAGTACGAATAGTCAACCGCAGTCCAACACATCCATACTATACAAGGCGTCTGGAATATCGTTCACACATAGTACATCCATAAACAAACATAATGTAAAATATTCATTTAAAGCAGCGGAAACATTCAATACAAGTGTTCATGCCACACCTTGGCAAACATGGGCATACAAGCCCCCAAATAAATATTTAAAAAAAATAATATCCATGAGCATTATTTAAAATGTTTTCAAAACAGGAACGGAAGAAGCACGAACCACGTCTCCCTCCTTTGATCTTCCCGAAGCAACGGGCAGTGGTAGCAACCTTCAAGTTCTACCTGAAACTGTGAGGTGGCCTCCCCCGTGAAGGGGAGGTCAGTACTTGGAAGCATTTGACAAGTACAATGACAACTATACTAAGTATAATCAAAGTTTCAATTTCCAAGACCCTCAATCTAGGATGTTATTACATTATAGGTCATAACCCGTGGTTACCCTCTTTGAAAGTATACTTACTTTATATATAAAGTCAAGTAGTCGCCCGAAGGCCCATGTTTACTTTGAAAACACTAACCCTTTCCCCGTGACTTCAAGCCACACCCATCTATATTAGTTTACCATGCTAGAGGCTTCCTCTAGTCATGTTTTGTCGTGCTAGAGGCTGACTCTAGTCACTCCACTTGGTGTTAGAGGCTTCCTCTAATCACCTTACATACGTTGTGCTGGAGGCTTCCTCCAGTCACATTACGTTACGCTAGAGGCTTCCTCTAGTCGTCCTACACGAATGCTGGAGGCTTCCTCCAGTCATTCTTCATCGTGCTAGAGGCTTCCTCTAGTCACATTACGTTACGCTAGAGGCTTCCTCTAGTCGTCCTACACGAATGCTGGAGGCTTCCTCCAGTCATTCTTCATCGTGCTAGAGGCTTCCTCTAGTCACGATACTAGTTCACTAAGCAAGTTCTATGCCTAGAGTTCCTCTATTATGAGTAGCCTTTGAGGCCTACTCCTACGGTAACTTAGCGTTTACCCATTTCTACCTTAAGACATCTCATAAGACTACTTAAGGTGTACCCCTCTCACAATTCAAGCCCTTAGG